TTTTTGGAAGCGTCGATTGTATTGTACTGGGTAATGCTTCACTATAGAGAAGGAAACATGCCGATTATGGTCAGGTACTGACAAAATAATGACACTAATAAATGAGGGGTACAGTGTATTGAAAGCAATCTTCCAATGTGTTGAGTAATTAAGCATTAACATAAGCATTACACCCATAGCTTAGGGTCATTAAAATTCTGGCGGGCCTTATTTTGGCCATTATTTGGCTACCATGGCTATGCCCCCATAGCATGACAATGCCCCATCCACAGGGCACGAGTGGTCACTGAATGGTTGATGAGCATGAAAATGATGTAAACCATATGCCATGGCGTCTCAGTCTCAGATCTCAACCCAATTGAACACTTATGGGAGATTCTGGAGCGGCGCCTGAGACAGCGTTTCCACCACCATCAACAAACACCAAATGATGGAATTGCTAAGATCTGAATGGTGTCGCATCCCTCTAATAGAGTTCCAGACACTTGTAGAATCTATGCCAGATTCTACAAGTGTAAAAGCTGTTCTGGCTCGTGGTTGGCCCAATGCCCTATTAAGACACTTTATGTTGGTGTTTCCTATATTTTGGCAGTTACCTGTATCTGTCCATGTCTCATGGATCATGTCACAGGTCACAAGTGTAATGTTGTGTAGCAGCCCTATCAGGTAGAACAGCTCAATAGTATTTACTTTGCCTCTGACCACAGACCTGAAATAATGATGAGTGGAGTCGGAAGTTCCATGTAGATGCTGACCCAATTGCAGCCCGAATTACAGAATTGTACACTGATCAGGATACAAGAGCTAGCTGAGTTACCTTCAATAGATCAGGTATTGTTTCGTGAGAACAAAACACCAGTAGCTACATACTTCACCGTAAACCAGACTAAGCCCTTTATTGTTTATATATATACTGTACTGTAAACCCCTGACTAAGCCTTAATTGTGTATACCACTGACTAGAATGAGTCAAACTATCATGGACGACTAGGGAAAAATGACAATAGACTGCAGAGGACAAAAGGATCCCCACTCAGAGGGACTCGTTGGCGTTTGAATATAGGAAAGACACCATAGAGCTCCTTGTAACCTAACCTCACTCCCTCTTACCTGCCCCATCACAATGCTGTGTATCAGTCAGCCCGCCATGGAACAGTTGAGTGAGCTTTACAGTACAGGCAACAATGGGCCCAGCAGTGTGCCAATGCTAATGACACACAACACTGCCTGGAGACAACAGTAGCCACCCTGCCTGTTATTAACTGCACCCACCTGCCTCAGAACCCTGAGAACAGACAGCAACCATCCCTTACCTTAGTCAAACAACAGCAGTTTTCCTGGACTTCAGATAAGCCATATACAGGTAACTGCCAAAAATTGGAAACACTTGAGTAAATGAGGGATACTAAGTATATTGAAAGCAGGTCCTTCCACACAGGTTGTGATTCCTGAGTTATTTCAGCAAGTAACCTCCCATCATGCTTAGGGTCATAATGCAGGGCAGTCTATTATTTTGGCTACCATGGCTATGCCCCCATAGGATGACAATGCCCCATCCACAGGGCACGAGTGGTCACTGAATAGTTTGATGAGCATGAAAACGAGTGTAAGCCATATGCCATGGCAGTTTCAGTCTCCAGATCTCAACCCAATTGAACACTTAGGGAGATTCTGGAGCGGTGCCTGATTTATCATTTTCCACCACCATCAATGAAACACCAAATGTGGAAGAATGGTGTCGCATCCCTCCAAAGAGTTCCATACACTTGCAAAATCTATGCAAGGTGCAGTGAAACCGTTCTGGCTGTGGTGGCCCAACGCCCTATTAAGACACTTTGTCAGTTCCTTGTATATAATAATATATATACAGTGCCTTTGGAAAGCATTCAGACCCCTTTACTTTTCCACATTTGTTACGTTTACAGCATTATTCTACAATTGATTAAATTGTTTTTTTTCCTATATCAATCTACACCAATACCCCATAATGACCAAGCAAAAACGGTTTTTTAGACATTTTTGCTAATTTATAAAAAAAAAAACGAAATATTACATTTACATAAGTATTCAGACCCTTTACTCAGTACTTTGTTGAAGCACCTTTGGCAGCGATTACAGCATCGAGTCTTCTTGGGTATGACGCTACAAGCTTGGCACACCTGTATTTGGGGAGTTATTCCTATGTCTTCTCTGCAGATCTCTCAAGCTCTGTCAGGTTGGATGGGGAGCGTTGCTGCACAGCTATTTAAGGTCTCCCAGAGATGTTCGATCGGGTTTTAAGTCCGGGCTCTGGCTGGGCCACTCAAGGACATTCAGAGACTTGTCCCGAAGCCATCCTGCGTTGTCTGGCTGTGTGCTTAGGGTCATTGTCCTGTTGGAAGGTGAACCTTCGACCCCAGTCTGAGGTCCTGAGCGCTCTGTACTTTGCTCCGTTCATCTTTGCCTCGATCCTGACTAGTCTCCCAATCCCTGATTGAAAACATTCCCACAGCATGATGCTGCCACCACCATGCTTCACCGTAGGGATGGTGCCAGGTTTCCTCCAGATGTGACGCTTGGTATTCAGGTCAAAGAGTTCAATCTTGGATTCATCAGACCAGAGAATCTTGTTTCTCATGGTCTGAGAGTCTTTAGGTGCCTTTTGGCAAACTCCAAGCGGGCGGTCATGTCCCTTTTACTGAGGAATGGCTTCCGTCTCGCCTCTCTACCATAAAGGCCTGATTGGTGGAGTGCTGCAGAGATGGTTGTCCTTCTGGAAGGTTTTCCCATCTCCACAGGGGAAAACTCTAGAGCTCTGTCAGAGTGACCATCGGGTTCTTGGTCACCTCCCTGACCAAGGCCCTTCTCCCCCGATTGCTCAGTTTGGCCGGGCGGCCAAAGGAAGAGTCTTGGTGGTTCCAAACTTTTTTTAAATTAAGAATGATGGAGGCCACTGAGATCTTGGTGACCTTCAATGCTGGATAATATTTTTGGTACCCATCTCCAGATCTGTGCCTCGACACAATCCTGTCTCGGATCTCTACGGACAATTCCTTCGACCTCATGGCTTGGTTTTTTGCTCTGACATGCACTGTCAACTGTGGGACCTTATATAGACAGGTGTGTGCCTTTCCAATCATGTCCAATCAATTGAATTTACCACAGGTGGACTCCAATCAAGTTGTAGAAACATCTCAAGGATGATCAATGGAAACAGGGTGCACCTGAGCTCAATTCGAGTCTCATAGCAAAGGGTCTGAATATTTCTGTTTTTGTTTGTTTTTTACTTTTAATAAATGTGCCAACATTTCTAAAAACCTGTTCTCGCTTTGTCATTATTGGGTATTGTGTGTAGATTGCTGAGGATTTTGTTTTAAAAATCCATTTTAGAATAAGGCTGTACATAACAAAATGTGGAAAAAGTCAGGGGTTTGAATGCTTTCCGAAAGGCACTGTATGCCATTTAGCAGACACTTTTGTCCAAAGCGACTTACAGTCATTCATGCATACATTTTAAAGTTGGGGTGGCACCGGGAATTGAACCCACAATCCTGGCATTACAAGTGCCATGCTCTACCAACTGAATCATACAGGATCCCTGCCCATCATCAAAACAACAGCTGCTAGACCAGTCTTCAGACAAAACAGCCATCCATGCACTGGGTCAAAACAACAGCAGGTAGGCTACCCTGCTCTGCAGACCTTGTCTTGTCATTAGTGACAATACAGTGATGAAGAGGCCTCCTCTCCTCACGTTTGAGGATGTTGAACCACACTGCTATCAGATGGCTTTGTCCTGCACACATTATTATACCTGACAGTGCTGAGACTCAAGATGCAATGTATTCAATATTCATCATCCAGGCATCTCAGGACCATATCACCATGCTCTTGTGACGGTCAAGATCAGTGTTAGGGTTAGGGTAACCTAACGTAGCAGCAGTTAAAAGAAACGCCTGAAACTAGATCCCCTACATACTGATCTTGACGAGAAGGAAAACAACTGTCGGGGGAGGTTCTCTTCTGCACTGTTCAACCAATCCAGTAAATGTGGTGGAGGAGTTCATATAGAGTGTCGCCTGATAACGTCCAAAAGGAGAAGTCACGTCACAGGCGCTCTAGTGTGGACTGGGTAAGACACATATGTACAGTTGAAGTCGGAAGTTTACATACACTTAGGTTGGAGTCATTAAAACTTGTTTTTCAACCACTCCACAAATTACTGTTAACAAACTATAGTTTTGGCAAGTCGGTTGGGCCATCTACTTTGTGCATGACACAAGTAATTTTTCCAACAATTGTTTACAGACAGATTATTTCACTTATAATTAACTATATCACAATTGCAGTGGGTCAGAAGTTTACATACACTAAGTGACTGTGTCTTTAAACAGCTTGGAAAATTCCAGAAAATGATGTGCATGCTTTAGAAGCTTCTGATAGGCTAATTGACACATTTGAGTCAATTGGAGGTGTACCTGTGGATGTATTTCAAGGCCTACCTTCAACTCAGTGCCCCATTGCTTTACATCATGGGAAAATCAAAAAAATCAGCCAAGACCTCAGAAAAATAATTGTAGACCTCCACAATCTGGTTCATCCTTGGGAGCAATTTCCAAACCCTGAAGGTACCACGTTCATCTGTACAAACAATAGTACGCAATTAAACACCATGGACCACCAGCCGTCATACTGCTCAGGAAGGAGATGTGTTCTGTCTCATAAAGATGAAACGTACTTTGGTGCGAAAAGTGCAAATCAATCCCAGAACAACAGCAAAGGACCTTGTGAAGATGCTGGAGGAAACAGGTACAAAAGTATCTATATCCACAGTAAAACAAGTCCTATATCGACATAACCTAAAGCTGCCCACAAGGAAGACGCCACTGCTCCAAAACCG